CTGTGGTGTTAACAAGACTAAACAAAATTGATGCTTTGAGATAAAACAGAAACCATGCCTCTGCCTTAGGAACACACCGAGTGACGTAGCACGGTGTATGCAAAGCAAGGTAGACAGACCTGGACAAAGCTACTAGCCTCTCGGCCCTCCAGCTGTGTGGCCTGGGGCCAGTTACTTGGCCTCTCTGAGCCTCAGCGTCTTCAGCAGTAACTACAGAATTGCTTTGAGAATTACAGTGTACGCCAAGCCCCTGGGCCCAATGTAGGCCTTCAAAGGCCAGTGGGCCTTACTGTTGTTCTTTGAACAATCCACACCCACTTCAGCTGAACCCTGCAGCACCCAACTTTGCAGTGATCCTGAATCTTGGGAACCACATTACCCCCCGGGCGGGAGATCTGTTCCTTTGTTTCATGGGGGAAGGGAAAAAAGAGTGAGCGCAGTCAGAAGTCAGCCTGCCCTGCATTCTGGGGTCACATGGGCTGTTTACCAGAATGATCCGTTTTCACCTCTTTCGAGCGGCCCAGTGAGAAAGGTCGCTCCAGGGAACACGGGTGCCTAAGGGGTGCTGTTTCTGCAACATTCCGGCCAGGTCTGGACAAGCTGCCCCATCCCCCCTGCAAGAGGCAGATTCCCGCAGCAGCCCCCACAGCAGGAGAGGAGGAGAGCCGTTAGAGGAGGGGGGGTGCCTGTCACACTTCTCCATAACCCCTGACGTGATGTGAAATTCTACAAGGTAGACCCTTTGAAATGCAAAATCTTCCCGAGTCCTTCAAATGTGTTTTTATTTTCTCGGGTTCTTAAGGCTGCTTTCAGACCCACCCCATCCGCATTTCCCCCTCTCAATCAACTCACATTTAACAACAAAAAAAAAAAAAAAGAAGAAGAAAAAGGAGGAGGCGGCAGTGGCTACAGCAAAGATGTCTGTTTTTTCAAAAAGCTCAAGTATCTCCAGTCGCTGCAGGGAAAAAAAAAATTCTTGTCCTAAACTCCAGCATCCCCTCCTCCAAGGCACCCCGAAGCCAACTTTCCTCTGGAAGATTCCCTCTCCTAACCCACACAGCACTAACTCTGCTGCTGCTCAGATCTCCAAGAACTTTCTAGAGACAAGAATCTGGTGCCCTCTGACCCGAGTTCGGGAAGGTTACAACAGGCACCATCGAAACCACAACCCACAATTTTTGAAGCCCCAACCTTGATCCAAAGCTGTGTGCACAGGAGGTTTGGATTAAACATCAAAGAAGAAGTTACCTTAACACAAAGTTGTTTGGCAAAGAAAATTACTTCACCATAAGAAGAACCCTAGGGGACGGTAAATTGCTTTTGAATATAGACTTTTCAGTGGCGCGGTCATTAATCATGCTAATGTAAACTGCACTCAAACCAAACTTTTCTAAGCAAGTCTCTGGGCACATCAGCATATCTAAGCCTCTGGGTTTGTTTCCAAAGTTCACAGCCCAGCACGCAATGGAACTGCAGTTAATGGGGTCAGCTATTACAGTGCAGTCCGCGACCTTGGGCCATAATAAAGGTGACTCAGCCGTGGAGAAGGAACCCTCGTAAAAGTTAGGCAGGAAGCACACGCAGAAATTAACCGGACAAGGAGACTCGATGATTTTGGAAAGCGCAGTCACTGGGCAAGTTGAAACAGCATTTCTCCCAGGATGCTGGGGGAGGACAGTCCGCATTCCTCGCAGCACTCCAGTCCCCCCGGCCAGGGCCTGTCTGGGAGGCCGGAGGGCAAAGCAGCAGCTGCCCAGGGCAAGGAGAGCGCCGCCCGGCAGGGTGAAACAGCACTGCACCCGCCAGCCTCAGCCATGTGCTTCTCGAGCTGGCAACAAACCGATCCTTTCAAGGGAGTGGACAGACTGAAAGGACAGCTGCAGCGAAGCCAGGAGCCAAGAGGCAAAAACCTCGAAAAAGCCTCGAGTTTGAGACTTTCCCCTCAAGTGAAAAAGAAAAAAGAAAACAAAAGCCACCTCACCTTTGGGGTTTGCAAGGGCTTATCTATGAAAGTGTCCCCCTGGCTGGATCAATTAAGGGGAGCCCCTGCACATCTGGTTTCCATCTCAGACCGAAATTTGTATTATCAGCATATTACATAACAAACGATGCCTGCAGGTTTCTTTTATGACACATCAGAGAGGTGTGTGTGGTGGCGGTAACAGTGGGGGTTGTGCTGGTCGGAGCATTTGCTTATTTCAGTCTTTGTTTGTTTGTTTGTTTGTTTGTTTTAGGGGCAAGAACAAAAGTTTTCCATACAGTATAAAATTCAAAAAGAGTCACACGGCCCTGGTGAAACAGCAAGTGGACCACCTGACAGAGGGCCCGGCCCTCTGTCTTCGGGGCCCGCTGCGCGGAGCCGTGGGTGAGAAGGGCGTGCTTCTTTAAAGAGCAATGCCAAGCCGCGCCAGAGTACTCCGCAGCGTCCTCTGCTGCCAGCTCCCAGGTTCTACAACCAGGCTGCCTGCTCTCTGGCTCCCTGCTCTCCAGCCCCCTGCAGGGAGGAGCTGGCCTCTTCTGTGCCTCCGTCAGGCGCCTGCTCCCTGAACCCACTTAAAGGGCACCCAGCCCACTAAGCATGTCCAGAACTGGAGAGACGGAGAGCCCGGGGGACAGTAAAGGAAGCAGCAGAGGCTACAGAAAGACTAAAAGGTGTGAACAGAAACAGCCTAAGAAATAACAACAGGGCTTCCCATAAAATGTCAACTTAGTGTAGCCATCAGGATGTCAATAAGGTATTTTTAAGCTCTTCCCAAAAGAATTTTATTAAATTCCAAAATGCTACATACATGCAAGTTACCCTAAGCTAAAAACAGGGGGGAGAAATAACCCAAAACATTATCAAAACAGAGGCAACTGCCCTCCCTACTTATCCTGCCAGCCTTAGAATGTTCAAGTTCATTCTGCAGCAATGGAATGGTTAGCTTTTACTTAAAACTTGTCTTCGACGTTAAAATGATTGCACAGCAATTATCACCTACTCGGGGGGAAAGAAGTAGTCCTCAACATTATTTGAGCCAGTCTTAAAACCATCTTTTTCTTTCAATGGAGCACTGGGGAGAAAAACCCAAACCTGCCCCAAGCCTCTCCTTCATTTCCCAGACTGGAACGGAGCCCTGGGAGCTGGATCGGCACCCTCCTGGGGCTGCAGGATGACTGGCAGCACCCAGACCCTGGCCAAGTGCAGGCACAGGGTCAAGGGCTTCAAATTCTGAACTTAAGAGCTCAACCTCCTCCCTGGAACATGGGCCTGTTAACCAGGACAAGAAGCTGTTTCATTTATCTAGGTGTCTGCAGCTACGAGGAAGGATAAAAACCTACAGATCTGCAATTCAGTATCAAAACTGTAACTGGGATAAGTTACTATCAAGTGGATAAATTAAAATGAACCCAAAAGCTGGCCAAGTCAGGAGCAGTGAATTTCACCTGAACTGCTGACTCTGTTCCTTCCGAAGTCCTCAAACCAGGCAGCATCTTTTAACCTGGAGTCCAGAATGTGGAGCAAGGAGGGAGTCCCCCCTCCCAGCCCGTGGGAGCTGCTGGGAACACATATGCTCCTATGTCACTTGGAAGTCTGCTAATATGTTGAAAGCAGCACAAGACGCTTGCCTGGCTTCCCAGGCCAATAAACAACGCCATTCCAACCCCTACAGCAGTCAATAGGAAACAGTCCCTAGTCTCCACCATCCAACGATTCAACAAACATTTGTTCCTGTTGAACAACCGTCAGCCCAGCTCTATCTGCACCAGCTCCAACAAGGCGAGCGTGGTGGTGGCGGCTGCGGCGCCGGCGGCAGCACCGATGCCCTGCCCAGGGTCCTGGCCCGGAATGCAACCCAGGGCCACATGCCCAACACCGAGTCCAGACACTATAACGTATGTAAGACTCGGAGTGTGGCCTATAGGAGGCAGAATCCCATTCATCAAATGCTGCAAAGAGCTGTTCTTTGTTCACCATCGTTCGAAGTACAGTACGTGTTAATGAAGACGGGCGGTCAGATGGAGGGAGCCCGGCTTCAGGGGGCGTCCGGGGGGCGAAGGACTCGAGCAAGGAGGCTAGCACGACTTACCGGGGCTCCGCTGCCCTGTCCCGAGCCACAAGCATTGTTCCGCAAGCCTGCGGGCGGGGGTGGGGAGCTGGGGGGGGGGGGTGTTCAAGAAGCCCTCTGGGTCAGCGCAGATCCAGGGCCCTCCCCGGATTCTGGGTGCCCTCACCTCCTCCGTCCCGCCCCACCAAGTGAAACCCAGAGAGGGGAAGCGGACTCCCACGGGTTTGCAAATCAAGGACTGGCAAAAATGTGACTCGACCGGTGTGCCCATGCCGGACGGCCCTTTTCGCCATGTGCAAAAGGCACGCCAATGACCCCCACTTTGAAAGCCCCCTCCGAGGCCATCCCACGAACTTCTCCCCCCTCCCCGTGGCTGAACACCCCCCCTCACCGGCAACGTGACCGCCCTGGCCGGTCCAGCAGCCGTGGAGCCCGCCGCTGCGCGCCCGAATCCCGGGGGTGGCAGACGAAAACTTCCGCGAACAAAAGAGTTGTCTGCAAACGATGCGGGAAGTTCGGGGCGAGCGTGGCCGCCCGGTCCTGGGGCTAGGGCGTCTTCCCCGCTGCCACGAGCCAGGGCTCCAGTTGAGACGCAGAGAGGGGGACAGCCCCCGGGCGCAGCCGGCCCGCGCCCGCCCCGGGAAGCGCAGACTTTTCCGCAGGGGCCGGGCTGGCTTGCTCCCCTGGCTGCGCTCTGACAAGTCTCATGCCTGCACCAGGGGAGAGACTCCGCAGCCCGAGAAACCACCCGACCCAACGCGAAACAAGAAGGAAAAGAAGGAAACCAGCACCATAAAAATAAAAATAATAAAAATAAAAACAGGCAAGCCGAGCACACACGCGAGCAAGGCTCCCCCCAGCTGGTTTTGGGGCGCACACTGCAGGGTCCTCCGCTCCGGACTATCCCCCCCCCGCCGCCACCGCCGCCACCGCCGCCCGAGGGTCGCTTACTGTGCGCAGCGGGACGCTCTGGCCGCGAGCCCCGCGCAGTCGCCGCCGGCGCTCGCCAAGTCGTCCCGGCTGCCCGCCGCACGTCCGCCGCGCGCACGCTCTGCAGCCGGCGCCGAGCGCTTTGTACCGAGCGGCTCTCGGAGGAGGAAATCGACTTGTCACTTCCTGAACTGTTTGCAACTCGTCCCTTTAACCGGCCCCGGCCAGGCCGCCCGCGCCCGCCGCCCCGCGGGGCCGCCCGACCGCGGCTGCGTGTCGCTGGGACCGGCGCTGTGCGGGCGGCGTCGCGGGCCCGGGCGCTCGGCGCGGCGGCGTGCTGGAGCTGGGCGGCGTGCGGCGGCGGCGGGCGAGTGCAGTGCGCGCAGCCGCCGGTGGGCGGGGAGTGGGGGCGCCGCAGCGCGCCGCCGGCGGGGCTAGAGGGCGTCCTGCGAACCGAGCCGCGCGCCGCTCGCCGCGCTCGAGCCTGGCGGGGCCCGGGAAGTGGGAAGTGGCCCCGGCCCGGGCTGCGCCACCGCTGCGGCCCCCGCGGCTGCCGGGCCGGGGCCAGGAGCCCCGCGGCGTCCTTCCCCGCCCCCTGCACGAGCCCGGACTGAATCCCGGGGCCGCGTGGACTTCAGATGTCCAGCTTCCGGGTTGTTGGGGTTTTGAGGTTTTAAAGAAACCATCATTTCAGCCGCACGCCAGGCGGCTAGGGAGGGGGGTCGTGTTCGTGCTGTCACACTTTGGGAAAATAAAGCGCCGGTTTCCTAACTCCGGGCGTTGATCGAAATAAAGGAATGTGTACTTCAGAAGCCACATCCCAAATATATGCAACTGGTGAAGGAAGGATTTGTGGTTGCTAAGCAGAGGCAGAGCATGTTTAGTTCTGTAACTTAGGATGTTGACTTAAGTTCAGGAATGTAACCCTGATAGAATAAGCAGAGCATTTTCATTGTGCGGCGCACCTGGGGGAGGGGACTGTTTTCCCTGTGAAGTAAAGCCCTAGATTTCCCATCACTCCTGCCCATTGGTGTATGTTATTTTATTGACCTTGTGTCCAAAAAGAGATTTTTTTTTAAAGAGAAGGTTTTTAAAAGGAACTCCCTATGCCTGTTTTGTGTTCTCCTTTGCCAAAAAAACAAAACACCTCATTACTTTACATGGATTGTGTCTGCACCATTTGAATGGTTCTATTCATAAATCAGGAAACTTTTTCTGTTGCTTCTAGGAACATTTAATTGGTTTTAATCCAACATTTCAATCCCAGTATCAAACATACATGAACAATTAACTTTTTGAGCTTGTGTGCACTTGGGACACTATTCTGTTTCATGGCTACTGCTGAAATATTTCAGTTTCTCATCACACTGGACCCATTCTTTTCCAGAAAACCGTGAGCTAACATCGCCTTTCACACTACAGCTCACTCCAGCGGTTTCTGCTCCAAGATTAGGATGGAGGGCGAATCAGAAGGCAGTGCCTATTTCATTCAAGTAGATGACATGGGGCAGACTCCTAAGAAAGCCAGAATGAGCTAATATGCAGAACACTGAGATATCAATAGCCTTACCCATAAACATTGCTTTGCAGATGGCCAATTTTGAGAGGAGAGTAAACCTAGCCTTCCCAGGTCGAACAAAGAAAGGCACCGGGGATAATTTGGGGGAGCTGCTACATCCCCCCAATGCCATCTTACCATTATCATGGTGCCACCTCAGCCTTGGAGAGCTTCAAGGGTATAGTTTAATGTACTTTTTATTACGAGGCCTAGAGTGACTCCTGCTGGCAAACATTCAGTTTATTCCTGCAATTACCAGTTCACCAGGTCAACTTAAAAAATGAAATGCAGGGGTCCCAAGCCTGGAAACAATTATTGCAACCATTATTCTTGTTGCTTTCAGGATGATTTTAGTCTCACAAAATTCTAGGGATTGTGGTTATGGCAAGCTCCTTTGCTGAAGAGCCAGCCTCCTCTCCAACCCTAAGCAGTCTGTTTTTCTGGTTCCGAAACTTGTTACTAAGAGTATACAGCACCAAAATACCTGCTTAAGGAATTGTGCTGCTAGCCAATGAATACCCATTTCTCATTTACCTAATCTGAATTTTCAAAGGCTGCTAGCCAATGAATACCCATTTCTCATTTACCTAATTTGAATTTCCAAAGTCCCGTGCGACTTGACTTTCCACACTATAAAGCCCTTACCACATTATGTAGTAAGTTCTATGGATATAAAACACCTCCACTTTTTAGGGCTATACTATTAATACACAGTTCTTTATTTTTAAAAATCTTATCCAAGAGGTTTGTACATTAGTTTTTGCTCAATTCAGAAGAATAAATATAAACTCAGTTGAGCTCTGGATTTAAGACAATATAAGCAGCAACTGGGGAAATGGAGAGCGGTAAGCTGTCTACCTTTGTTCAATACTGAAAGGTCGAAACCAAATCAAAACCAGACTTACAGCACAACCAGACACCTCAACACAAATTCATAGGCCAATTTAGGAATAAATCCATAAGTAATCCAAAAATGAGCACTTACAACTTTTCCACCATAACTGACCAATACTAATCTGGTTAGAGCATAGAATACCCCAGGAAATGTAAGCCGTGGGGGTTACCCAGTCTCACCCCAAGACCACTACATGAAACCCGGGGTAAACCCAGCAGCACTGGCTCTCCCAGCTCCCCTCACGGCCGAACTGCCCGAGGGAGGGATGCCTGTGTGCACCGCAGGCACCACATGTCCGCTGGAGATGGCCTGAGGGGTTTCAACAGTGTCATTCTCTGTACACAGCTCCCTCATTCCAAGTTTAAAGCTCTTAAGCAACAGGAGACAAAAAGGGTGTATTTTATTAAGAAAGGGTGTGATCAACTATAACTTGTATCAACAAGCTAATAAAAGTTTCCACCTAAGCACATTTGTGCAGGAGAGGGTGAAGGCTGGGTTTTGATATGGGCTAAGACGTTTCCTAGGTATAGTGGGTGTTTTGTTTTTGTGCCTTTAGAACAAGATAAATGGGATGGTCAAGCTGAGCTTTGGAGTTTGAGTGAGGACCAGGCAAGTCTGCTCAGTCTCTCCCACCAAACCTACCTGTACCTATGGTTTTAAAAGGGGTCCCCACTAAAAAATGACAGATTAGTTTGTCTCTGAGAATAATGCATTATCGTTACACGAACAAAGTCAGTGAAACAAGCATCAGGTGTGTCACACGTGGAGCCGCACAGCTGAACGCCTGTGTGTGCGTGTGTCAACTCCCTTGTTCACCTCCCAAAGCCACCAAGACTCCTTGTCACAACTGCTGAATTAAAAGCCAGTCACTCACATTTCACACTGTCCTTCCTATATCTGAAAAGTTCTCTTTAACACGGAACTTTTAAAATTTTCTTATAATACATGATGGGAAGGCAAGTTCACCTGAAGCATTTTCAAAAAGACTGGCTACTGAAAACAAGTTAGCAAAATACTCTGCTTTGGAAAACATGAAAAGTTTTGATTATAGATGGAAGCTAAGAATCTGTACTTACAATTTTCTTACGTGAATCTTCTTTCAAAAATAAGTTCTGCAATTGTTCCCACACTGACGATCAAGGTACAGCTAATCGCCCCCCACACACACGAGCAGGTATGACACATGGAACTTTGTCCTTTCCTTTCCATTTTCGCCTCGTGTTCTGAAACTGTCCCGCTGCTGAAGTGAGTCACAGCACTGACTTGGAACCTTGTGTGCGTGTGTGTGCACATGCGTACCCCACATCCACACACATGCATTTTATGAGAGGTACTTCGGTTCTTGGAGACAAAGTTACTTTTTGATTCAAGAAATAAATAAGACAAATTTATTTTCATTGAAAAATAACCACAGCATTAAGCTGAATGATACCAATCGAACTCCTCTGGCAGGAGGTGAGTGTTGAAAGCAGCTTGAGGGGAATGTCTGTTGACATCGGCGCCCGTGCATCTGCGGGGCTCTGAGACCGAGCGTCTAGCACCGTCGAGGTGCGTGGCCGCCCGGTGGGAGGGCACTGTGCACCACGGGGTGTGGGTTGTGAGCCCAGTGAGTCCTGAGCACAGACCCTGATTTCCAAGTTGGCAGGTGCTGAAAACACAGCAAATGTCACGCCTGCCACTCACTGGAGGGAAGAGCTCTGGGTAAAAGAAGCTAAAAAGAACAGAGCAACAGGTAAAACTTAGTTCAAGCTGACAGTACTTCCCCCCCCCCAAAGTTAACAGTCCTTGTCAGTGTTAGCTGCTACAAGAAAACAAGCCTTGAAGAAACAGGCATTGCAAAGTCTGATAAATAAGCAAAAATAAATACAATGAAGGCTTTTCATTATCAACATTCAAAGTTACTGGTTTATGCAAAACTTATCAAACCTACTTTACTATTTTAATACCAAAGGGATTCAAAAGCACAACTACTTCCTGGCCTTTCCCTGATCTATTTAGGATATTAGCTGAAGCAGACTCTAACTAGTATCACTATACACACGATTACTCATGCCGGCTTGCCTCAGTTACTCCACCAAAAACATAACTAACAAGTTACAATATTTTCATACTGCTATACACTGAATTTAATCTAGAAAGTATTTCAACAGCACACCCAGACTAATGCTTGTTATTATCTTCAAATGAAAATAAGTTCAGTGTTTTTTCCTTAAGATAGTCTTTAGTGGTATTCAAATTTTGTATTTGAGATGTGAGCCCAAATTATAAGTTAATGTTCCTCTTCAGGCAGTGAAGGTCAAGAGAAACCTGCCACGCCCAAGAGAAATCTGTTTGTGACTCCGTCCCGGAGATGTGCTCTCAAGGCTGCCGCTGGCCGGCCCACCGCAACGAAAACGAGCCCAAGTGAACCCCATTTTCATTAGGTGGTGAGGAAACTAGTCAAGTAAATACAGTTTTGATGTCACAGAGTTCAAATTCCCAATTGGAAGACTGAATCTTTTGGATTTGAAATATCAAGAAAAAAAAATCAGTCTCTGGTTTCAATGGGTAGAACCTTCCTGGGAGCAGTATAAAAAAAACATTTGCTCTGCACACTATATTAGCCTGTGAATTTCTTAATTCTTCCTAGCACTTCGTCGACCTTCTATATGAACCAAAAGCAAAGGCATTTTGTGATGTTTTGTTTCGTTATATCCATTACTGTTTATAAGAGGGACCAGCCTTGCCTATTTTGTATGTGGACATCCTGTAGCTGATCTGAAACAGAAAAGAATTATGTATTATAAATGAGGGCGTATGCAAGGGGACGCGACCCAGACCACCCGGCTGGCCTCACGCAGATGAAGAGACATCTGGCTAAGATGGAGGCGTAGGTAAACGTGCTTTTACCTCCACACGCAACTATAGCAAAAACCACACATGA